TCCTGACTTTTCGAATGTTTTATCACGTATGACGAACAAAAAAATGTCACATGGCTTTCAGAATTTCAAGATTTATTTGCACAGATTTTAAAAAATCGAGCTTCATCCGCGTTTTTATTGAATCTTTCCAATAAAACGAATTTTCGACGCGTAACGAATCCTATTTCGCCCTAGCGATATGTGACAAAAGCTGCCGCTTTTCGATGCACTGAAGACACTATATATGTTTTTATCGTATAAAAACTTTTTATAGACGGTTTTCTTTTCTGTATAACTCATTTTAACTTCTCAGTTTAATTATGAAACTAAAATCGCAAAAGCATTTTTTTATATCAAATATTAAAATTGTTACATCATCTAGAACTTTGCATTGTCATACACAGTAATCATATACAGTATTCTAATGATACACTAAACTATTATTAACAGATTTAGTTAAAAATAGGCATTAGAAAATCTTTTGATCCTGTCCTACACTTTACACTTTAGAATTTTAATATCCTTACTTTACACTTGAGAATTTTAATATCCTTACTTTACACTTTAGAATTTTAATATCCTAATTTATAGCATATTAAAATTCTAGAGTGTAAAATAATGTGTATAAAATTAGAGAAAAGTGTCATTTATCAAAGAATCAATTATTGACAATAACAAATAAAATTTTGAATTAATAATAAATCCTATCTGTTTAAGTAATTATCATGTTAAATAAGAGCCTCATTATATGGAGTATTCTTTTAATTCTCTTTTAACTCATTTTCCATTTATTTATAATATCATCTTGATTAGTCGTGTATGTCAAGACTCTTTACAATAAAAAAAAACCAAATATTGAAGTATAATTGGAAGAAATAATATTTCTCTAAAATGTCATAACGTTTCGTCATACGTGTGTTATTTTTACGAATGTGAACTGCCACTTTAGAATCAAAGGATTTTCACATCCGAATTGCAATAGCGAAATTTTATGAGGTCGTCGCGATTTCGAAACATCGATTCATGTTACGGATATCGTGCTGACTCCATAAACGAGATGGCACGTACGATATTGTTAGTGAGGTTTATGTTTATTGCATCAAGTGATAATTGAAGTAGAGAGACTCAGGATATATTTAAAATTGTAAAATCGCGTATGCTGCGTAATAGTACTTAAATTATTGCATTTGTTTAAGCACAAAATGTTTAAAAAAGCTTTTACGGCACTTCTATGTAAGATAAACTATTTATACACATTCATGAATATTTGCGTTCGCGATTACTTAGGGCACATTCATATTTTACGTGTCACGTAAGCTTTGAGTCCTTGGTAAGTGAAAAAAGAAGAGCTCGACAGATTGTCAAAGGAGTAGTACGTGGACGTAAATTGCAAGATTTTAGCAAACGTCATAAGATAGGACACTCGCTGCGAAGTCAAATACGGCAAGTCCCTCAGGCTGCTTGCTTATTGTTAATTCAACCGAGCTACCAAGCTGGGCATAAGTCTTTGCTTGCTTTAGCATTCGTGTTTGAGATTGGAGTCTTTGAATCAAGACAGCCGTCAACGAATAAAACGCTGACTACAGTATCCGATTGTGTATAATGTCGCCGAGCTCGGTAGACTGAAATTACGCGGCGATTAATGCTACCGCTATCAAACAACAAAGCTTTACTGATATTGAAAGCCAGATATAAGCCAGATGTCGCTTTTAATAGTTTGCAAGCATAAGTTTGCAAACTTGTTGATTTATTCGTTTATTATGCTTGTACTTTTATTTATAAAATAGATTTAATTCCTAATTACTTTATTGTGCTGTATTTTAGTCGAATATATATATATATAATACGTTAATAGATTGATATATATAATATTTTATTTTATGTGGGATGTTAAAAAACATTCATCGCTTATATGATAAACACTTTTTGTATTTTGTATTTTGTATTTTGTATTGAATATAGATCGAAAACTTAACTGTTTCTAAGATATAAATGATTTTGTTAGTATCATATAACTTATTGGTTTCTACGTTGTATGCGACGTGAAGATTTATTTCTGTGTTTACAAACCGCGTTCTGAATACTCCGATTTAATTTTCTAACGTGCTTTATAACGAAAAATTTCACCAAAAATCAGTAAATTGACATCAGCCATTATGAGCATTATGGGAGACCACTTCATTGGATCTAATTCTCCCAAATAATCAATACTACTTACTCCAATTTTTCCTTTCATGCAAAGAATAGAAAAAAATTATAAGTTACAAAATTGTTGATATCTCAGAAATGATTGAGCTTTCGACTTGTGTTCAT